GTCTTCACTGTGGTTATGCGGAGTCGTGTTGGCAGAGTTCAGAGAACTGTGGCTCGTGTCTATCTGCCCCCCCCAAACATCCTCTGTGGCCAAGAGGAGGACAAAGCATCCTCGTGCTGGGCAAACACACTCAGCTGTGGTGCTGCTCCACCGCCTCTGCTTTTTGCTAGACCCCATCAGCGATGTGAGCAGCACAAGCTGCACCTTGGAGGCACCGACTGGCCCCGCAGAGCACTGTCCTACAGCAGCTCCAGTCCCCAGGGAAGTTTCTGGGCCCTCACCTTGCTGCTTCAGCCAGGCCCGCTCCTGAATGAAGCCGATGAAGGGGGCTATGCCAGTTCCCGGTCCAATCATGATGACGGGCGTGCTGGGCTTGAAGGGCAGGCGAAACTGCGACTTCCTGACGTACATGGGCACCAGAGAGTTGCTCCCGTTCTCATCGGGCACCTTGTTCTTGAGCCAGTTGGTGGCCACCCCTTTGTTCAGGCGTTCTGTCTTGGTCTCGTACTCCACCGTGACGGCACAGATGTGGATGGTGTTGGGGTGAACCTGCAGGGAAGGGATGTCAGCGCCAGGCCGAGAGGGAGCCCCAGCAACCCCACAGCTCACTCCCTTGTGCTCAGGGACGGGGAGAAGTTTAACCTAACGTTAACGTTGGGACAGCTATTCCTCCCCTGGCAGACCAAACCTCCCAGCGTGCCCCACATGGGGCTTCTGTCTTGCGCCCGACTCGTCACAGGACCACTGAGCTTCCCTCGGTATTGCCAACAACCTCAGGGCTTCAGGCACAAAGTAAAGAGTGAATTCTGACCAACCCCTAAAATGCCACCTTGCTTCCAAGCCCTGAAAGCAAGGGCCTACGGGTGAAGAGGAGCAGGGCTGCAGGGAGGGTGGTGGTATCAGGGCGCAGCTGGCTGCAGTGTGGGACCCTCTGCAGACCCTGTGGAAGTTGGGATAACCCCCTCTCCTCATGCACAGAGATAACTGAAGCTGCCCCCCTCACAGAAAGCGTCGCCAGGGCAAGTTCCCCATGTCCGGTTGCCAGCTGAGAGGGGGACCGTGGCACTGTGGAGCTGCAGCTGAAGCGGTCTCTCAGCAGCCTCAGTCCCTGCTGGAAGCACGCTCACCTTGGAGGAGGAGGCAATGGAGTAGTAGCGGGCCTGCAGGCGGGGCAGGAGCTCACACAAGTGGTCGATGGGGGGGCGCAGCGAGGGCATGTCCTGCAGGATGGCCAGGATGTTCCTCCGGGCCTCCACCACCCAGCTGAGGTAGAGAGCCTGCGGGCAAGGAGGGCACATGCGTGACAACTTCCCTATGTGGCTGGCAAACACTCCCTCCGCTCTCTGCACATGGTGCCCAACGGTCCTGGATCCCTTTTGGGGATCCTCCAGCACCCAGTTCAACCCAGCAGCTCTGCTGGGAAGGCCACAGCTCCCACCTTCCCCTCAGCAGCAGACGACGCCATTTTGCGGAGGCGCTCCTGCTCGCCGGTGTCCGTGGCGTACTGGGCCAGCTCATAGAGGACATTGGTGCGGGGCGGGTTGGTGATGTCCAGGTAGTACGTCAGGGCTGTACGGTAGGACGTGGGGCAGGGGAAGGGATGTTTCTTATTGGATTCCTCTGGAGAAGAGGGAGAGGAAAAAAAAAAATTAAAAATCAGCAACCACATGCTGTTATGTTAGAGATCTCGTGCCAGCAGCTACATGCAGTGTATGAGAGCTGGAGACAGCAGAGGAACCGGCTTCAGGGAGGAGAGAGCAGCCCTAGGGCTGAATCAGCCTGTTGGCCAAAGCCCTGATCCCACACTGAAGCAGCTCCAGCACAGGGCAGCTCCCTCTGCAGGCAGCTACATCTCCCAGTAGCCCGTCTTGTGTTTCACAGATGCTGCCTGACAGCTTATCAGCAAAAAAAATATCCTGTGCTCCCCAGTGGGGCTCTCTGCCCCGAGATACCCATGCACAGAGGCACCCGGCAAACTCCCAGACCAAGCAGGAGGGCTGTTCTCCACAGCTAATTCGGCCTCATGCACTTACACCTCCTTCAGATCCGGCCTCAAAAGTGTCCTTAGTCTCCTTCAGCCACGGACAGTTGTGCTCAGAGCCCCTTTGGGAAAGGTAAGCACCAGCAGTCAAGGCTGGAGCCATTCAGTTCAGCAAATGAAGAGGTCCGTAAGGGACAGGAATGACAGTGTGAGGCTGGACAACATGGGACACTGCACAGGGGGCCGCAGGCTCTGGCAGTGCGTTAAAGCCGCTTGGTCTCTTGAAACCAGGAGCTCTCTTAGGCTTCTGGGCCAGCACATCTGATGCCTCGGGTCAGGCTGCGCTGCTTCAGGAGTAAGATGGGCAGCAGCTGCCATCTCCCTCCTGCCAGAGGCCAGCTCTGCTGGGAACACTGCCCAAGAAGAGCTCCTTGTATCAGCACAAGTGCTCCCTCCTGGCAGTTCAGTCCCCAAGCCTGTGCCTCCTCCAAGAACTGAATAACAGCATCTCTAGACACTACGGCTCCTGTTGAGCTCCGGGGCTGTTGCGGCAGGAGGATGCTCTGGCGGGCTGATGCTCTGTAATTAGGAGTGTGCTGTTACATAATTTGTTATTGAATGGGCACACTAAGCGCGTTTCACAACTGACCCACTTCAGCCGGCTCTCAGCAAGCGGGCTCTGTGCCACTGCTAAAATGGCACGGCATTCCGAGTGGCCACGGGACGTCTCTGTTTGCCGGGAGGTGCCCTACGGGACCTGAAGGTGATCTGGCTCCCGCTCTGGTGGGAAGGACAGAGGCCGTAGCTGAAGGAGAACTGCTGACGCTCGGGTGATCCTTACTCACCGTCCAAATTGTTTAGGGACATGACTGTGTCCAGATCCGTGCCCAGGATCTCACCAATCTGATTCACCAGAGAAGAGTCGTTGGCTGGGTACACCGCCACATGGTCCCCAGACTCGTACCTGGCACGAGAGCAGGAGGAGAGCAGATGAAACACCAGTGCCACTTCTCATCCACCCCAAGCCTGAGCTGCTCAGCTAGAAGACAAGCGGGCTGGTGCAAGGGGCAGTAGGACAACACCGAGATCGGAGTTGCTACGTGGTGCCTGCACAATCAGGGATCCCGAAGAGCTGGCAGTAGTAGCAGAAAGGACCATTCTGGAATAATGGTTTTAAGAACCAGTATTTTTACAAGGCACCTCCAAGATAACAGCAGTTTTGCCAGAGACTTCAACGAGGCCAGACTTCCAGCAAGGACGGGCCAACTCCCTGACAGGCAAGGAGCAAAGCTGCTCAAAACCTCTGCAGTATTTTGTTGTGTTAAGCCACCTAGATTCACAGCTTTCTTGCAAACACACAGAGGAATTTAAGCCAGCAAGAGGATTTTTAAGAACAGGGCTTTTTTCCCCCCCTATGCTTGTACACCTAAGCCAGGCAAACCCAGGCACGAGCCATCCCCAGCTTTCCCCTCTCTCGTAGCTCATCTGCCCTCTCATTTTTTGAATGCCTCCTAGAGAATTCCTGCAGCTGGGACTGCTCAGGTAGGACGGGTATGTGCAGCCAGCTCTGGAGGGACCCGGAGCCGCCAGCTGGCACGGCCAGGCGCAGCGCAAGAGCTGGGACAAAGTCCTGACATGGGGTACCTGATATGTGATACAGAAGTCCAGAGGGGCAGTGTTAAGTAATTATGCAAACAAGGTCCCCTTCTGAAGTGCTGGATGAGGCCAGTGCCACATCCTTGTTCTTTGCTCCTGATGCAGACTGCTCCTGCCAAAATAGAGGAGCAGTCTCCCATGGGAAACTACCTGATTTTGGAATTGGAGATATCCAGCTCCAGGTGCATAAGGTGTCGCTCTCCACCCTCGTTCAGCTTGCGGTTCTCTGTAACCTGGGCCAGGAAGGGGTTCTTGGCATCAAACGGTCTGGAAGGAAAGACAAGGATCCTCCGGGTTACTCTCCTGCCGGCTCACAGTGCTTTCTGTATCCAAGCACGTTCCCTCTGCCTCCAGAGCAGGCTCCCATGATTTGAGCATGGGGCTGTCCTGGCTCATGTTTCAAAGCACACCACAGCACAAACCAAATTATGATCCTGCTGCTACCCACACTGGCAGAAAAAACTGATCATTTCCCTTCTAAGCACAGCCCAGCAGTCAACAGCTTCTGTCCTATTAAGAACAAGCGATGCAAAAGTAAATAGGAGGGAATGTCACATCTCAAAGAGATATTTCAGTTTGGAAATAATCTATACAGCTAATCTTCCCAAAGCAAAACTGCAAGCAACCACCTGGGCAAGGAAAGGCTCTGAGTGACCTCAAGACAGACGCTGCAAACATACCAGCCAAACACCACACGTGAACACAGCCACCTTCTCACACACTAACGATTCATTAACTGGGGAATCCCCGAGAGTCCCAGTGAAGATCTGAGCCTGTTTCTCTTGGGCAGACATCTGCCACATGGCTGCATTGCAGAAATGGCACTGCCTGCATAGCATGCGTTGTTAGAAACATCAAGGACTCCATCGGCCGAAGCCTGGCCCACGTACACCCTGCCCAGGGCGGCCGGGCACTTACGGCTTCTGGTTCTCGTAGCTCTTGAGACGACCCATCTCACCGGTGTAGACTTTGTTCATGTTCACATCCGTGTGCACCACCAGCTCATACTGGCGGATGCTGGAGGAGGAAGGGGGAGAGAAAAAGAGGAAAAAGTCAAACTGGAAATCACGAGGTACAGCTGGAACCACTATCTGCTTTGCTGGATTTGCTGCAGTTCAAAAACAAATGCAACTTCCACCGCTTCACCCTTCTTGAGACATTAGGGATCAGACAGACCACGCAGAAAGCCCAAACCAAGAGGAAACATCAGCTTCACTGGGAGCATCGCAACCCAGCAAAGCCATCCACAGAGGAACCAAACCCATCACATCCCCATTCAGAACAGAAATCCAGAGCTGGGTTCAAACTCGCACCAGGACAGGCTCAGTCCAAACAGCCCCACGATCTACTCCACGTGCCCTCTCAAGTCTGGAAGGGGAGGCAGCACACAGGAAAGGGGACAGCAGCTCAGGACTGATGGCACAGCCACCAGCCAGAGGTGGTTGATCTCTCTGGCACCCAGAAGAACCTGCTCCCATACCCACCTGGACTCTTCTCCTGTAGCCTCCACCCCAAAGTGCTCACACACTGCGGGCCAGAACTGCTCTCTCCAGGTGATGAAGTCTTCTTCCAAGCTAGCCAGGGCAAAAGAGAGATTTAATAACCCTGCCCAAAGGGGAACAAAGGGGTATTCCCAGAGGAGCCATCTGAGATCCCTATGGACTTCCTCCTTCACCACGGGAAAAGGCATTTGTCCTTGGATCCAGGCAGTTTTGCTATGTCTACATGCCCACAGATCACCAGAAGAGCATCTTCAGATCACTAAATGGGTGGGAGGGAACTGTTGCTATACCAGCCACCCCCCCCTTCACCAGGTCTGCCGAGGAAGGCTTTGTTATTCAGACTCGGTCTTTAACCAACTCAGCTACCCCTTGCCCACTCTTGGCATTAGGTCTCCTTCCTGAAAGGCAGATTCCACCATGGCAATTCTTATTTTTCTGGGCTCAGAGCCTCCCACACACATCACATCCCTCTCATCAGATCTTGCAGCCCTTAGAGGTAGAGCCACAGGTCGATGCCTGTGGCACCCGCAGGGTGCTCAGGAAAGCGTAGAGAGGTGTGTGTCGCGTCCCCCTCCCCCCCCCCCCAAAAAAAAAAAAAAAAAAACTCCTTGGCGTGGGACAATTCC